ACCGCAGCACCCACTCCACAACTCCCTATAGCACCTTAAATGCGGTGGGTGGAAGGAAAAGGGGGGGGGAAGGGAACGACTCACCAAAACCCCTCCAGGCTCAATTTTTGAAGTATTTTTTTAAGTTTCCCAGCTGCTGGAGGAGGCTCGGAGCCGATGGGCCGCTCTAGCCTTACAAATCACCAGGTGCCCTCATTAGGTTTCAGAGTTAACGCTCCAGCCTCCTGAAGCCCCATTTTTCCCCAGGAAGGACCCGACTCCCCCCGCTCCTTCCCACCCCAGGTTGCTCCCCGCCATCCTCCCTCTGCGCCTCCTCACCTCGGGGGGACCGTCGGTGCTTTTCAACCACGGGGGCCGCATCCCGTTACCGGCAGGGAGGGGACCCCGGAGGGATTCGCCCCCCACCTCGCTCCTCATCTCAGGGATCCGGGACACCCGAAACCTGTTGGGGGTAGGGTGGGGTTGGCATCACATCAGTCTGTCCCCACCCTGGAGTAGAAGGCGGGGGGACACACACCGAGGCGGGGGGAGAGGGTGTCCCCGCTTACCTGCCAACAGAGAGGATGGTGACCTCACCGGGGCGACCCCCAGGTTTGGGGACCTTGGTGGCACTAAGCGGTGGCAGTACCTCGGGCCACTTCTTCTGGCTGCAGCGGGTGCACGGGGCTGGACCCTGCACCGTGTGGAGGTGCTGCTGGTGCCGGCAGGCGGGGGGAAACTGAGGCAGGAGGTGCAGCCTGGGAAGGGGGGGGAGATGCCATCAGCATGGGGTTGGTCCCACCATGGCGGGGGTAGCGGGTGTCCTCGGTGCAGCCTTGAAGGGGCTCTTACTTATTTGGGGGGGCACAGCCCGGTGGTGGCACCGCCTGTTGGCCGTGATGCTCCTTCAGCAGCTCCTCCAGCGCTGCGGCGTTTTCTATGGGTGGGGGGACACTGAGCAGGGGTCCGGCCCGTGTCCCCCCCTCCCCCTCCTCAGGAACCCCCCTGACCTCTCTTCTCAGTGATCAGCCGCACCAGCACCCCGATGGTGTCCTCGTTGGCGTCCTCCAGTTGGTAGATGGAGCTGGGACCTGGAGGCAGAAGTTGGGGGGACTCAACTGATGGGGGATAAACCTCCCCAAGGCCGAGCAAGATGCCCTGGGACGACGATGACCCAGGAAGACACGGGGATGGGCTGAACGAGGTGACCTGGATGTGGGAATGACCGCGAGGTGCCTACGGCACAACCGGGGCTCACCGGTGCCCCCGGGCTGGGGGTCCTTGCTGGCGGTGCAGTGGTAACCCTTCTTCTTCAGCAGGTTGCAGACCAGGATGCCCAACAACCCCATGGCGCAGAAGACCGGGACGATGGTCAGCACAGCCGCCTGCGCTGCTGCCGCCTCCTCCTCCTCTTCCTCCCCCATCAGCGTCACCCGCGTCCCGTTGGTCCCCACCGGTCGGTCCGGCGTTTCGGGGCTGCGGGTTCGCCGCCGGCCT